TCTTAACATATACAAATAAAATGAACTTTATAAAACATGACACCACATAGCTGAACAATCTCAAATGCTGTCATCTCAAATGCTTCCATGAATGGAGCAACTAACTATCTTTCTCAGGATCCTGATGATCATCCAGTCATTCCCCAGTATTAATAAATCAAACCCTCATTTCACAAAATAACATTCAAAGAAGTCAGATCAGTGCCTGGTACTCCTTCTGATACAATGCCAAGTTATGAGCCCACACCCACAGAAGACACAAGACACAAGACAGATAATGCATTTAAACTTTTTGGAAGTGGGAATCACTGAAAATTTATGTGTGTCTGACGTGCACCCTTGTTCATCGCAGCACTGTTTACAACAGCCAGGGCATGGAAGCAACCTAGATGCCCATCAGCAGACGAATGGATAAGAAAGCTGTGGTGCATGTACACAATGCAGTATTACTCAGCTATTAAAGAGAATACATTTGAATCAGTTCTAATGAGATGGATGAAACTGGAGCCTATCATACAGAGGAAAGTAAGAAAAACACCAATACAGTATATTAAAGCATATATATGGAATTTAGAAATATGGCAACAATGACCCTATATGCGAGACAGCAAAAGAGACACAGATGTAAAGAACAGACTTTTGGACTCTGTGGGAGAAGGCAAGGGTGGGATGATTTGAGAGAATAGCACTGAACATGTATATTACCATATGTGAAATAGATCCCCAGTCCAGGTTCGATGCATGAGACAGGGCGCTCAGGGCTGATGCACTGGGATGACCCTGAGGGACGGGACGGGGAGGGAGGTGGGAGGGGGGTTCAGGATGGGGACACATGTACACCCATGGCTGATTCATGGCAGTGTATGGCAAAACCCACCACAATATTGTAAAGTAATTAGCCTCCAATTAAAATAAATTTTTAAAAAATTTGTATGTGTCTGAAAAGATGAGGTTGTTTACTTTTCACGGAACCATTATTTTCAATAGGATATTAAAATATCTTTAAAAAAGTACTTATTTTTTGAGGCCTTTGCTAATCTTTTACTAAGCTCAGTAGAAATATAAAGCTACTGTATTGTCTCAAATACTGAAAACAGGCAGTAATATAGATAAAGCACATTACTTTCTGAGATTATTATCTCATGACAGAAACAAAGTTGGCTGAATTCCTTCCATATTAGAATAAAACACCCTAATCAACCTTATTGGGAAAATAGGACATCAGAGACATTTCATGACAAATCATGTTAAATTAAGGTCAAAAAGTATTATTACAAAAATGCAGTACATTTCTAATATCTTGCTTATACATACCACAAAACAAATAAGTTAAATACAAAATAACACATACTCATTTTTCTAGTGATTATCCTTTATCAGTTTTTACATGGCTTTTAGAAGAGAAAAAATTTCTAAACCACTCTCAAATGCAACAGACTAAAAAGCATAAAGTGCTCAAAAGAAAAAAAATAAACAAGATATAAAAAACTTTGCATATAATCAGCAGAGTGGTTATAAAGGACATTTGGAAACTACTGCCTCGCTAAGCTTTCCACCCAAGAATGTAATCTTAGAAATCAAGGCAAGATGTGGTGGACTGATCTTAGAAGGCAAGAGTACCGCTGGACACAGAAGACATCTCTTCCCTTAGAGCTACATCATTTTTCTTACAGAAATGGTCTTTTAGGAACTGGTGTTTAAAATACAACAAACACATTTGCACACCAAGGTAAAAAACTCAGGAATCTTTATAAAGACTAACATCTGGCAAACAATCTGAACTTCTAGAAGGACTATCAAGACAAAATATATATCACTGGCGATGGCACTAACTTTATCTAAACTAAGAGTCCACCTATTTAAACTACAGTAGCTGACTAGGGGATACCCATTTCAAGAAACAAAGAGGTCTACAAGTACGCTGTCTTGGGAGAAGTTAGGGTGTAGAACAGAAGACCATTAATTCTCCAAGTCTAGTTAAAAGGTAATCTGTGGGAAGGGATGGTGGTAGTGGTGGTGGAAGGTTCAAGACCTTGGGCTCTTTACCCAGCCCCAAAACAGACAGTGCTCCCTGCATTTGAAAATGTTATTGCTGGGGTTTAAAAGTGAAAATCAAATACAAAAGTTATAAACATGATTCTCTTTGTGTGTACGGAACTCAATGAAGAATTAAAAGGGTCTCTTTTTAGTCCTTTAGACTTCTCAGAGTTCAGTTAGACAAGATGTCCGGGGTGGGGGTGGGGGGAGTTTAAGACACTGGAATGTCTTAAACATTTACTTAGTCTTAAACATTTACTTAAGTGAAGGAAATACACATTTTGATAGACTGATGAGGATGGTCAGCATGTGTCTTGGGCAATTTTATTAGTATCATTAGAAGAATGTTACATACTATAACGAGATGGCAGGACACAATGTAAGATAATTTTTGGAATGGTCAGAAATACAGCCTGAGTAAAATAAACTAGGCCAAACAAGGTACTTCTTTTCCCTCTTTTTGTTTTTAAAAAATTAGGTTCCCATATTCACAGTTTTAAGAGCTAGTTCCAGAAACTACACTAGTACAGTAACCACTACTCAAATGTGGTTACTGAAAGCTTGAAATGGGTTAGTCTAAATTGAGTTGTGTTGTTAAGTGTGAAGTATACGCTGACTTTGAACACTAAGTAGCAATAATCCTTTAAAAAACTCCTACATAACTTTTTAAATGTATTACATGTTGAAATGATAACATACACTGCATTAAATAAAAATATGTAATTTAAAAGAATTTCATCTGTTTCTTTTTTATTTTTCAAATGTGCCTACGAGAAAACACAAAATGACATTGATTTCTCATATTGATTTCTATTAGACAGCACTGTTCAAGTACTTAAGAGCTCTGAAGCATTAAGCTGACTGGGATTAGAACCAAACCTATTTACCACTATATGCTTACAAGCATTTTCCTGGGATCGTAATAAAAAACTTGAATCTTGGCAGCCTTCATCACAACTCTATGTTCTTATAAGAAATACGTATTAGTTATTCCAGTCATTCTAGACTGTACAAGAGAAAAGCCAAGTCATTCACTTTATATGCATTTTAGCAGGAAGAGCTTCAGGTTCAAAACACAGGAAATATGAATCATAGTTCCAAATTAACCAAAGTATTGATCAAATTAAATTTTATATAATTTTACCATTCTATTTCCTTTTTAAAGACGGCCCCAAACCTGTAACTGCTAACATACAGTTTGTCACAAGTGTAAAACTTAAAGCTATTATTTAAAAGCAAAATCTTTTTGTACAGATGCCCAAATCACAAAATTCTAAAATAAACAGACAGCTTTGGGCTGAAATATCTAGTCACAAAATGGAAACATTTAAGTAGAAAATGTTTAATCATTGTAGATTTTCAAAATGATCACTGACTGAAATGAATTCAAAGTTCCAAATATTCTAAATATTCTAAAAAATTACTTTCACATGCTTTCCCCTCTGAACATTACTCCTATTACTCACATGTTCATGTCTACAGATAAAGGAAAACTGAAGTTTAAGTATTTGAGTGCAAAACTTGAGACATATCTTTATCAAGCAGCTCTTGAGAGTGAACTGAAAATTGTTCTTTTCAAAGCAAAACTGTACTGTAAAAACACATCCTAATACTTCTTTCTTTCTGTAAACAAGTTTTAAGCTCTTCAAAGTACATCCAGATTTTCAAAATACATCCAGATTACATCCAGATGTAATTTAAGGAAGTGAATTATTTTTTCCCAATTTTCCCAAGTCTTTCAACTACCTAAATCATCACTAACAGTCTCAGGAAACTTCGCTGAACTATTATTGGACCTCCAAAATGTTACTGCAAAAGTAAACATCTGAAAAAATTTATAACATTATTTAAAAATGACTTCAAAATAGAGAATTCCAAGGCAAAAGAATATACAAATTTTGGAACTATAATGTTTTTATTACCAGAATATACAATGATCCTTTCATAATTCTGCAATAATGCCTCAGATTCCCAGTTTCAAAACCATTTGTCCTTTAGATTTCCATAATATCCGTTCAGAATAAATGTTTTGTTGCTGTTCATAAAAGAAAAGTCTTTAGCTTTGATGCTTCAGAACTAATTAAATAGAAATGGCTAACTAACTCTGGGCCTAAGATAGATGTGGTGTAGAAAGAGAACAGAACCCTACCAATACACATAAACTACAACCCACTTGAATCATCCTGAAACCTCAACAAACAGATTTTCAAGTAAGTAATTAAGCCTCCAATTAAAAAACATTTTAAAATATACTGATAAACTCAAAATACAAAAAATGCAGTATTGCCAATTATGTGGATTTCCTAGGGTTCACTCTGAAATTTCGGGTAATGTTTAACAACAGTATTTCAATTAAATTATGGCATTTGAAAGAGGTTATACTTCTGGGGGTAGGTCACATAAACACTTTTTGGGAGAAGATATGTCTGGAAAACAATAATGAGTAATTAATATTTCCTTAACATTTCTAAAATCACATAAAAATGATTATCTTTAATTGCCATTTCAATAAGTTTCCACACCGGGTATGTTACTATCCATGTATTAGTAACCAAAACACACACAGAACAGACTTGCAACAAACATTCAGAATCAATCATTTTCATGAGCGAAACATTTCTGAGACTTTAAGATTCATCTTTGAACATACAGGACTGCAATGCTGGCTACATAAAGTAAAGTCTTTTTGAGAGGAAGCTCAATCATCAGAGGCTGTATTGCATTTAAGGATTTAACACTGGCTATATACAGAAAGAAAAGCAATCCAATTAGAAATATTTCATGTTACTGGAGCTCTCTTTACAACATGGCAACATTTAGCAGCTTACCATTCTGACATTTAAAAATCAACAGGAGGAGTGCTACGCTTTTATCCTTTGGTTCCCAGTGAAAAATAACTCAGTAATAATGCCTCTGGTTTTCAGTTCCTCTTGAATGACATTAGCAGAGATAAACCTGATACTTTAGCTGAAATTTGGCAGACCAAGAAGTGCACCGACGGCTCCAAAATATCCCTGCATAATTTAAAAACAATTATTCATGCAGTGCAGCTTTAAATTAGCATGTGTTATTACCCATTATTAAAAACACATATTTGGTATAATCTATTTAAGAACATCAATTCAGAAAGGATGGCTACCTTAGGGTGTGAAGGTAGTGGCTACAATGCAAGGAACAAGGGGTTTTAAGCAAAAGTGTATGTTCTGTTATCCTGAAGATTTCAAGGGCATTTTTGACAGTAATCAAACATCTTAACAGCTGACAGGCAGCTGGATGGACGCTTATGGGATAAAAGAGCAGACAACTTGGCTGCTGCTCCACACAGCTTGTGGGATCCCAGCGCCTTGATCAGGATCAAACCCGTGCCTGATGCAATGGAAGCTCAGAAGCCTAACCACTGAACCACCAGGGAATTCCCTAACTTTCTAATAAACGTTTATACACTTTGAAAAAAAAGAAGAAAGCTACCAATCTGTTATCAGCTATTGAAAAAAATTTTTCTTAAAGCCTGTATTCTCAAGATATAGACCTTTGAAATACATAAACAGTGACTTCTAGATACTGAAGCTTCCAGGACTATTACTGCAATTCTGTGCTCTCCTTGCTCTTCCTGAAGAAAGCTCCGGGGGCTCTGCTTGCCACGCCCACAGCACAGGCGCCCGGTGGGCCTGCGCAACACGCCCGTTCTCCCCTGGAGAGCAAGAGCTGTGGCAATGACACATGCAAGCTCGTGAGAGCAGAACAGATACTCAGAATCTGTACTATGAAGATGATTAATAAAGTATCTAACTGAACAGAAACTAATTCAAGGTAAGTTTACATAATTCAAAACATTTTGTGAACTGATATTTGGTCAGGTCAGAAATTAACTGGATATAGTGAAAGAAAAAAAAAACAATCTTGAAGAATGAACTCCAAAAATGTTAACAGTGGTTGAGGTTACCTCTGCAGGTGGGGGTGAGGTTGTGGTGGGAGGAATAAGGAGATTTTCATTACTAAATTATACATATTTTTTACTGTTCATATTTAACATATGTTCTCTCAGGGAGAAAAAGCAAAACAATTTAACAAATCCACTAAGTACACAAGCAACCCCAGAATTTAATGAGCTCACAGCCCTGATACTGCTCTCTCTTGGTGAGAACAACTGTGAGATTCTCATCCTAAAGGGATGCCTGCCAGGTTCCAGTGACCCCCACCCCCAACGCCAACTGAAGTGCGGGAACCACACACCATCCAGGTAAATCATATTTTTATATTTTACTTTAAAAGTACCAGGCAAGGAACAACATACGAAACCTGTATACAAAAACATGCTATTAAAATTCACAAAACTTGATTTTTCATATCATACCTCATGCTCCAGAAATAATGCTTTCAGCTGACCCTTTGACCAATAATCCAGTGCATATGCCAAAAGTTTCATTGAGAGAGTATTGACACGCAAAAAGTTTCCAACAAAGACAACTCTGTTTATTTTCTAAAAGAAAAGAAAGAAAATAACTTGAAAAAAGAATTATCATGTAGATTTTACAATACAATACAGATGAGAGCTCTATTTATAGATATAAACAATTACTACCTTTTATTAGTGCCTTCTACATTCCTGGTATGTGCCTTCATAATCCTGAATACTTAAAAAATTAGTTCAGGACAAATCACTACACTTGTCAAAATTCCAAAAATGTACACCAAGAGTAACCTCAAAAGTGAACTATGTACTCTGAGCGAGGTGTCAATGTAGGTTCACCAACTGCAACAAACATACCAAACTGGTGCTGGATACTGATAGCAGGGGAGGCTGTGCATCTGTGGGGTCAAGGCTGAATGCAAACTCTACCTTCCACTCAGTTTTGCTGTGAACCTAAACCTGCTCTAAAAAATAAAGCCTAATTAAAAAAGAAATGTTTTGGAAAGTCTCTAGCTAAATGATATAGAGACAGACTTGTTTTTGAAAATGGCTGTATACATTTAGCAAAGAAAGTAATTTGGAGAAACATTACTGATGAGATAAAAGGAGACAAACCAAAAAAAAAAAGGAGACAAACCAAAGAAAAGTATTTCAGATGTGTTTAGGGTTTTTTTAAAAAGATGTAAACTTGGTCAACATGTTGCAGTTTATGCTCAGCAATGATATGAGGACTTTACCTACAGCACTGAAGATAACACTCACTGGAATACTGGCATGGTCATCCAGTCCCCAGGGTTCCAGCATTCTCTGTACCGAGCCTAACCTATCAAGTCACTATCTTTGCCAAGATTCTACTCATTAATTTCGCCCTTACGTACCTTTAAGATCAGAAAAATCACTGATGGAGAAAGCAATGTTTGAACTTCCAGAAAATCTGTATCTACTCTCACAATAATATATTTAGGGTATACATTCTTGCATACTGAATTTTTGAAGAGTGTAAACAATGCCCTTAATTGGGCTCCCCAATGGTTCAGTACAAACTCTACATAGTCAGCAAAAACAAGACCAGGAGCTGATGTGGCTCAGATCATGAACTCCTTATTGCCCAATTCAGACTTAAAATGAAGAAACTGGGGAAAACCACTAGACCATTCAGGTAGGACCTAAATCAAATCCCTTACGATTATAGGTGGAAGTGAGAAATAGATGTAAGGGACTGTATCTGACACAGAGAGTGCCTGAGCTATGGACGGAGGTTGATGACACTGTACAGGAGGCAGGGATCAAGGCCACCCCCAAGGAAAAGAGATACGAAACAGCAAACTCAGATCATGGCATCCGGTCCCATCACCTCATGGGAAACAAGATGGGGAGACAGTGGAAACAGTGCCAGACTTCAGTTTCTGGGGCTCCAAAATCACTGCAGATGGTGACTGCAGCCATGAAATTAAAAGACGCTTGCTCCTTGGAAGGAAAGTTATGACCAACCTAGATACCATATTAAAATGCAAAGACATTACTTTGCCACCAAAGGTCCATCTAGTCACGGCTATGGTTTTTCCAGTGGTCATGTATGGATATGAGAGTTGGGACTGTGAAGAAAGTTGAGCACCAAAGAATTCATGCTTCTGAACTGTGGTGCTGGAGAAGACTCTTGAGAGTCCCGTGGACTGCAAGGAGATCCAACCAGTCCATCCTAAAGGAGATCAGTCCTGGGTTTTCATTGGAAGGACTGATGAGGAAGCTGAAACTCCAATACTTTGGCCACCTCATGCGAAGAGTTGCCTCACTGGAAAAGACCCTGATGCTCGGAGGGATTGGGGGCAGGAGGAGAAGGGGGCAACAGAGGATGAGATGACATCACCGACTTGATGGACATGAGTTTGAATAAACTCCAGGAGTTGGTGATGGACAAGAGGGCTAGCATGCTGTGATTCATGGGGTCGCAAAGAGTCGGACATGACTGAGTGACTGAACTGAACTGAAAAAAGCAAAGCAGTGTCTGAGCAGGCCTTACAAATAGCTGTGAAAAGAAGAGAAGAGAAAATCAAAAGAGAAAAGGAAAGATACACCCATTTGAATGCAGAGTTCCAAAGAATAGCAAGGAGATAAGAAAGCCTTCCTCAGTGGTCAGTGCAAAAAAGCAGGAAAACAATAGAATGGGAAAGATTAGAGATGTCTTCAAGAAAATGAGAGATACCAAGGGAACATTTCATGCAAAGATGGGCTCAATAAAGGACAGAAATGATATGGACCTAACAGAAGCAGAAGATATTAAGAAGAGGTGGCAAGAATACACAGACGAACCATACAAAAAAGATCCTCATGACCCAGATAATCACGATAGTGTGATCACTCACCTAGAGTCATACATCCTGGAATGTGAAGTCAAGTGGGCCTTAGGAAGCATCACTACAAACAAAGCTAGGGGAGGTGACGGAACTCCAGCTGAGCTGTTTCAAATCCTGAAAGGTGATGCTGTGAAAGCGCTGCACTCACATCCCAGCAAATCTGGAAACGTCAGCAGTGGCCACAGGACTGGAAAAGGTCAGCTTTCATTCCAATCCCAAAGAAAGGCAATGCCAAAGAATGTTCAAACTACTGCACAATTGCACTCATCTCACATGCTAGTGAAGTAATGCTCTAAATTCTCCAAGCCAGGCTTCAGCAATACATAAACCGTGAACTTCTGCATGTTCAAGTTGGTTTTAGAAAAGGCAGAGGAATCAGAGATCAAATTGCCAACATCCGATGGATCATCAAAAAAGCAAGAGAGTTCCAGAAAAACATCTATTTTTGCTTTATTGACTATGCCAAAGCCTTTGTGTGGATCACAATAAACTGTGGAAAATTCTGAATGAGATGGGAATACCAGACCACCTGACCTGCCTCTTGAGAAATCTGTACGCAGGTCAAGAAGCAACAATTAGAACTGGACATGGAACAACAGACTGGTTCCAAATAGGAAAAGGAGTATGTCAAAGCTGTATATTGTCACCCTGCTTATTTAACTTATACGCAGAGTACATCATGAGAAAAGCTTGGCTAAAGAAGCACAAGCTGGAACCAAGATGGCCGGGAGAAATATTAATAACCTCAGATATGCAGATGACACCACCCTTATTGCAGAAAGTAAAGAACTAAAGAGCCTCTTGATGAAGTGGCTTAAAGCTCAATATTCAGAAATCTAAGATCATGGCATCCAGTCCCATCACTTCATGGTAAAACAGTGGAAACAGTGGCTGACTTTAATTGCGGGGGCTGTAAAATCACTGCAGATGGTGACTGCAGCAATGAAATTAAAAGACACTTATTCCCTGGAAGGAAAGTTATGACCAACCTAGACAGCATATTAAAAAGCAGAGACATTACTTTGCCAACAAAGGTCTGTCTAGTCAAGGCTATAGTTTATCCAGTAGTCATGTATGGATGTGACAGCTGGACTATAAAGAGGGCTGAGCACAGAAGAATTGATGCTTTTGAACAACTGTGGTGTTGGACAAGACTCTTGAGAGTCCCTTGGACTGCAAGGAGATCCAACTAGTCCATCCTAAAGGAGATCAGTCCTAGGTGTTCAGTAGAAGGACTGATGTTGAAGCTGAAACTCCAATAACTGGCCACCTGATATGAAGAGCTGACTCACAAGAAAAGACCCTGATGCTGGGAAAGATTGAGGGCAGGAGGAGAAGTGGACGACAGAGGACGAGATGGTTGGATGGCATCACCAACTCAAAGGACACAGGTTTGGGTGGACTCCGGGAGTTGGTGATGGGACAGAGAGGCCTGGCATGCCATGGTCCATGGGTTCGCAAAGAGTCGGACACGACTGAGCAACTTAACTGAACTGAATGGCTCAGTGGTAAAGAATCTGCCTGTAATGCAGGAGACTAGGGTTTAATCCCTGGGTCAGAAATGGCAACCCACTCCAATATTCTTGCCTGAAAATCCCACGGACAGAGGAGCCTGGTGGGCTATAGGCCATGGGGTCACAAGAGTTGGATGTAACAGAGCAACAAAAGACAGTATTTCATGAACCTGTGACTTGGTGTCTTGTGGTGTATGGCCTTAATTACTGTTAACTGGTCAGTGAAAATGGACCTGTAAGAGCTAATAAAAAAGGTCCCAGACTACTGTCAGCTCCCCGAAGTCAACTATTTCCCAACTCTAGGTTAAAACACCTGCTAGTAGTTCCCTCAACCAACTTACTACACTGTTATGAAGAAACTTAAAAGACAGAATTCTGATTTTAAATTTAGAGTAATCAGAGGATTAATTCAAGCCTTTGCACAGTTGCCCTCTCTGCTGCAGCCTCCCTTTCCGCAAATATCTACACCCGTGATTCTCTCACCTTCTTCAAACATTTGCCTAAGAGTTACATTTTCAACAAAGCCTTCCTTTAACTACCTAATTAGTAATTTGTCCTCTGCCAGTCTGTGTTCTACTCATAATTCTCTTTAATTTGTTTAATTTTCTCTCTTTTTTTTTTTTTGCTGCACCTGGCATGTAGGATCTTAGTTCCCTGACCAGGGATTGAACCCACAACCCCTGCAAAGAGAAGCTCAGAGTCTTAACTACCTGACCCACCAGGAAAGTCCCTAATTTTCCCTTTTTAAAAAATAGCATTTCCTACCTAATACTAAACAATTTACTTATTTACTTATCACTAGAACAGCTGTAAGCTTCACAAAGTCAGGGATTTTTGTTTTCTTCACTAATTTACCTCAAGTGCCCAAAACAATACCTGGCAAATGATAATCTGCAAATATTTATTCAATGAATAAACAAAAGAGTGAACAAATGAAGAATTCCTTCATAAAGTACAATTTCCAACTCATTTACAACATATTTGGTATTTACAAAAAGTAAATGGGCATACACACCTACTACATGAAGGCAGAACTGAACTATCTTCTTCAAATAAAAATAACCCAATCATGAGGTAAATCTAGCAGCCCATGCTTTTTCTAAGAGTACACCATTCAAATGCCATGTGAAGAACAGGTCTCAGTGCCCTCATAGCCCTGTACAATGCTGCTTGATCATATGCAACAAGGCAGCACTGTAAAGAAGCCGAGGGCAGTAAGGAAACTTCCAAGTACTTCACTCATCAAATGCAACATTAACAGGAAGGAAAAAAAAAAAAAACACCCACACTTTCAATATTTAGTTGCCTCAAAATGTTTTACTGTTTAGGGGGAATCTCTGTTTTACAATTTCAAGATATTTAGGCCATATATTTCTGAAAAGGTTCCTGGATAAATGTAAATATCTCTTTGTCCTAATTTCCGATTTGAATGATCTGCTACTTTCTTTAAATGAAGTATCACAGTTGGGTAGGTAACATATATATTAGTGTACCTTGGGATTTAATGGATTAAGAGATCTCAATCCTAGAGGCCTCCTTAAGAATCCTGAAGAAGACTGCTACATGTACAGAAAACTCCAACTCACATTTTTCATGTAATTAAAAAAATTTACCTCATTAACAGCACACATTCGTGCTATAGAACCAATGTTATTGGTGATAGTAACTAAAGTAGCTCTTGCTAGATCTTCTTTACTAACAGATTCTCGCTTCTCCTTATATATCATATTCCCAAAACTGTAGAGAAATGAAAAACAAAATCAAATCTGCTGATAACAAGCAACATCTCATACATTTTGGAACTATAGCCTACAGATAAATCTATACATATGCAAAATAAGGTATACACGTACAAAGTTAATGACGCAATGAACTGCACATAGCAAACACTGGGAACAACCCAAACATACATCAAACTGATAGTCACACAATGAAATACCATGAAGCTATTCATAAAAAAGAGAGAGAAGGAAGGAGGGAAGGGAGAAAAGGGAGGACAAAGAGGAAGATGGAGGCAGAAAGAGGGAAAAAAGAGAGAGAGGTAAGGGAACAGGCAAACAGACTAGGAAATACTGCTGTTACAGGCGATACAGCCATCCCTTTCATCCATGAAGGACTGGCTCCAGGACCCTCCTTGGACACCAACATCAGTAGATGCTCAGGTCCCTTGTACAAAATGATGTAGTATTTCCATATAACCTATATATATACTTTAAATCATCTCCATATTCCTTAATACAATATAAGCACTATGTAAATAGCTGCCTAGGCACAGCAAATTCAAATTCTGCTTTTGCAACTTTTGGGACATATTTTCAATCTGAGGATGGTTGATTGTGTAGGTGCAGAACCATGGTAAGGGGAGCGAACTGTATACAGTATGCTATGAAATGCTATATAATAGTATTTTAACATTATCTTCTAAAAGTTACCTTTTATAAGAGGAAGATAAGGATATATATTTGTATTTGCAAAGAGAAACACTGGAAGGATACTCAAGAATGAATAAAAACATTTTCCTATAGTGCACTGAGAGGAGACTTCTTAATGTAAATTTAATTTTGAAATCAACACCGATGTTCAAAACTTGTAACTTAACTGGGTAAAAGGAAGCCCCCTTACAACTTCCTGATACACTGCTTTCTAAAAACTAAGTAAGCAAGCTTAATTACAGTGTAAATGTTAAACTTACCTAGATGCGACAGCCCAACCAGGCAGACCAAATCTTTCATAATCTCCCCCGTAAATATCACGGACGAGTTTGTCAGCTTGTGTGCTGTCACCTTTCGATGCCATTTCAAGAGCCTCTTCAAAACTTTCACAGCCAGTCAACAAGCTACATAAACCCAGAAAGGTACCCCCTCCAAGGCTAAAGAAAACAAACAAAATGTGGTTAAGTTGCAGTTACACAATGTATTCTTTCTCCAATGTAAAAGGATGGAGCACTCACTTACTCAATTAAACACATGAACAGAAAACATTTACTAAACCTAAGAAAAATGCATAGCAAACCAAACTTGTCAGATCAAAGAATAAACCAAAGGAAAAAAATCTTGTTGTAGAAACGACACAGGAGACCTTTCGTATCTCCTAATATCATCACCTGATACCTCACACTTTGTAACTGCTAAAACTACACATCTTTGTGTGCATGAAAAAGGAGTGTTAAAAAAAAAAAAGCTAGCACCACACAAATTAAAAGGAAGAAAATTGTAATTCTAAGTCAATACATAAACATGTACATGAGTCTGAAATGAATACAGTGAGATCATTTAAAGACAGAAATTAACCTGATTCTAATACTCTTTGAATATGCTCATAAAATGAAATCATGTTTCTCTAATCCTTAAAATCAAAACCTTTGCTCCTTTAGTCTCACCTGAATTTTTAACAGGTTCTACTCCTGAATCACTGTTGGAATGTAGTTAACAGACTGAATTTCTATCTTTTTGAATTGACTTAAGTAGGTAATACTTCCTTGTAAATCTTTGGCATAGAGTTACAATGGAGGTGGATTTTCAGTCCTCATAGAAATAAAATACTAATTAAAGTACCATTCAAATAGGCGTAATATATTGACATTAAAAGGAGTTTTTCTGGGGTTTCCCTGGCAGTCCAGTGGTTAAGACTCTGTACTGCCAAAGCAGGGGCCGTGGTTTGTTCCCTGGTCTAGGAGCTAAGATTTCACATGTTATACCAAGCGGCCAAAAAATAAAGTGTTCTCGCCTCCCACACCCTCGCTGCCACAAAGCAACCTAATTTAAGAATCCTAAAATCTATCTTCCTCAAGTTTCCTTAAAAGTTGATAAAGTACATACTAGAATCATAAGGAAAATTAAAAAATCTCATTTCACATCTGTATTTCAGGTATTATAGAAAAGAAAGTGAAAGTTGCTCAGTCATGTCCGACTCTGTGACCCCGTGAACTGTAGCCTGCCAGGCTCCTCTGTCCATGGAATTCTCCAGGAGAGAATACTGGAGTGGGTAGCCGTTCCCTTCTCCAAGGGATTTTCCCAACCCAGGGATTGAACTGGTTCTCTTAAATTGCATCGCAGGTGTATTCTTTACTATTTGAGCCACCAGGTAAGAGCTCATGTTAAATTCAGCCTGTTGAATTAATTACAAGGTTGCTAAATACTTCAACTTGAAAAAAAAAACAATTTACATCTGGCTACCCTGGGTCTTTGCCACTGCACGAGCAACAACACGGAGGGGCCTACTCTCTGGTTGTGGTGCGCAGGCTTTTCACTGTGGCCAGTTCTCTTGATGCAGAGCACGGGCTCTAGTGTGCAGGCTTCAGTAACTGCGGCTCCCAAGCTCTAAAGCACAGGTGCAATTACGTGGTGCATGGGCTTAGCTGCTCAGCAGCATGTGGGATTTTCCCAGATCAGGGATCAAACCCATGTTTCCTGCATTGGCAGATGGATTCTTCTACCACTGGGCCACCAGGGAAACCCCAAATACTTTGTACTTTAAATATGAATCAAATAAGCATGTGGTAAGCTTTAGGCTTAAATATATCTATATAAAAATGAGAAAAATGTTTTGGAAAATAAAAGTATTATTGGAATCATTCCAGATAAAAAGTCACACTTCATTATGGAAATTTTAATGACAACTGACACTAACCAAATACAAACATCTCATGATTTTAGTTTGAGTCTACACACATGCCTTATAAAACAGTACTATCTGCAACACTATAACTTTTACTTACATATCTACATTTTTAGCTATTGCACAATACACTTTTTCTGATGAAGCTACCATATGTATATAAAGACTTCACAATTTGTAAGAATAAAACAATATGAATGCTGCTGTAAGAATAAAAATGCTACCACCTTGTTCCGGTTACTCGTTTATAGCTGTCTTTGGAATGGACTGCTAAAATACTGACTCCCGAACCAATGTTCACTACCAGGAGCGGATAGGGATCGTCCAGGTTAAAAGGCATCTTTTGGCACCTCTCAGGTTCTGAGGCATTGGCAAAATAATAGCACTCTGCTTGTCCATTGAAACTGACAGAATCTATATACAGCAAGCCCTTCACAAGGCAGTCAAGTTCATCCAGCTTGTGCAGGTGGAGGTTTCCAATCTGTGAACAAACCCCAAAAGAAGCTTTATAAAGTGAACAAAGAACAGAATTCAAAATACTTAACTACGTAATTTTCATGTACTTCACAGAACTTCAAAACCAGCTACAACCCCTGTGTGTTTACTTGCTTTCTTGTGTAAGAGATTTTGAAGCCCCAAAATCTCTCAGGGGCTTCATTTAATACAGTGGTTCTCAGGAGTGGTAGTATTTCTTCTAGAGACATTCTGGAAATCTGTGGGGATATTTTAGTTTTCACCAAGATGGGGAGGAGTAGGCAGCTACTTGGGTGGGGCACCAGATATCTGGAGTGGGTGGGCACTTGTGCAAAACAAAGAATTAACCCTTTTTCTGCATTATCTTTGAACATTCTGACAGATATTTTTGTTTAGACAGTAGTAGGAAAATGTTTTTAATAGCCGGAGCCTATGTAAACAAGTGTTTTATCTATGTGTATAAATACAAGGTATTTTTTACACGGTTTTAAATACATCCTAAATTTGCAAGGAATGAAACCATCATATAAACTAATTGTTGCACTTTTGTTTGGAACTTTACCTTGTGTTGTTTAGCATCCTGGAGAGTTATATCACAATCACAACAGCAACACCACTGACATATTTGATTCTCCAATAAAACACGTGTGGCTTTAGAAATTAAGATCAATCTATGTACACGCGTGAGTGAGTGCTCAGCTGCTCAGTCCTCTCCAGCTCTTTGCGATGGCATGGGCTACAGCCCGCCAGGCTCCTCTATCCAGGGAATTTTCCAGGTAAGAATACTGGAGTGGGTTGCCATCACCTTCTCCAAGGGATCTTCCCAAACCAGGGATCAAACCTGTGTCTTCTGCGCCTCCTGCACTGGCAGGATACTTCACCACTGAGACACCTGGAAAGCCCTAATCTATGTCCATACAAGCGTCTAAACCTAACTGCTTCACTATGCCCTCCTGGTGACCCTACCAGAGAATCTACCTACTTCTACTTACCGACATACAACATTAATCAGTTATACCTTAATTTCCTATCTTTATATTATAGTTTCGGTACTAATGTGAAATTATTAAATTCACTTTTGGTTAGTAAAGGGTAGATTATATTTGCTATAAAAGATCTCAGCTTTGATAATGCTTTCCCATTCTCTAAGGACTTATCAGGTATCCTCCTTGAGTTTCCATGGCATCTCTTTTCATAGCAACACTATTAATTATAATGCACTATACTTCCATTTGTAATTCACTTAACCATGTGGTCTAGGAAACTGTACTCTTTGACAGCCTAGTCCGTGTCTTATTGCTAGCTGAGTTCTCAGTGTCTAGCACAATAACCTAACAAATACTAAATGCTCAAATATTAGCTTAGTAAATGACTGAACACCAACAAAAACAAATATTATAAAACCTCATCACTAGAAAATACTAATATTTCTTTTAAGAAAAATTAGAACTCTGTAATTTGAATACCAGCATTTCCAATGGCTTGACAAGAGGTGGCTTCAAGGACACTCCTTTTGGCAAGAATACTGGCAACCATTAAGTATCACACATCCAAACAAACTGGTTTCAAATTCATGAAATTTATGGTCAGATTACTCAATAAACTGAATACAAGTCAGTACTACTCATCATAAAAATTTTTAGCAAAAATTTATAGACTTTTAAGCTACCCCAAATTACAAGGTATTCACTTCTGTGAGCCATATTAAGTGATCACTTATACTCTATTAATAGATTTTTCTTACATGAATTTGAGAAATTCACATGCATATTTAAATGGTCGTCCTCTTTCACTTTTCACTTTCATGCATTGGAGAAGGAAATGGCAACCCACTCCAGTGTTCTTGCCTGGAGAATCCCAGGGATGGGGGAACCTGGTGGGCTGCCGTCTATGGGGTCGCACAGAGTCAGACACTGAAGCGACTGAAGCAGCAGCAGCATGCATATTTTCAAGAAAAACAAATTTCAGTAAATCCAAGTATCAACTTTTTAATCTTTGTCCTAATGGGAAGGAGTGGAAGCTTGGCAAGCCCCCACTAGCACAAAAATCACTGCTTGCATAATCCTCTTGCCACATCCAAATGACCCCCCTCCCTTCAACACTGGAATGTGGTGGAATTGATGATATAAAACACAAGAAAAAAAGGGGTAATAGGAACTTCATTCAGGTGTCTATTAATCAAAACATACAAACTTCAGTTGGAGTCTGGGAAGATGAGTGTCCTTAGGAGAGATGATTAGATTTAATACTCAAAAAACCAAGCACACACAGAATAATATGAAAATATTTCAAGCCCCATTTATATCTGGCTTTGCACACTACCAAATTCACTGGAGTCTACCTTTACTGTGACTTTGTAGCAGTTCCTTAGTTTAGCATGGTTTACCAAATATTATGTATAACAGGCCCAACTCTGGCCAATTTTTACTCACGGTATAAAGGTTTTTAAATGCGCCAATCAAAACTAAGTCATGTAGATGAATTGATAAATAAGTTGTACATATTTACAACAGAATATTACTCAGCCACAAGAAAGAATGAATTTGATCAGTGGAGGAAGCACAAGCTGGAATCAAGATTGCCAGGAGAAATATCAGTAACCTCAGATAAGCAGATGACACCACCCTATGGCACAAAGCGAAGAAGAACTAAAGAGCCTCTTGATGAAAGTGAAAGAGGAGACTGAAAAACCTGGCTTAAAGCTCAACATTCAGAAAACTAAGATCATGGCATCTGGTCCCATCACTTCATGGCAAATAGATGGGGAAACAGTGGCTGACTTTATTTTTCTGGGCTCCAAAGTCACTGCAGATGGTGACTGCAGCCATGAAATTAAAAGACTCCTTGGAAGGAAGGTTATGACCAACCTAGACAGCATATTAAAAAGCAGAGACATTACTTTGCTGACAAAGGTCTGTCTAGTTAAGGCTATGGTTTTTCCAGTAGTCGTGTATGGATGTGAGAGTTGGACTATAAAGAAAGCTGAGCACCAAAGAATTGATGCTTTTGAACTGTGGTGTTGCAGACAAGGGACTGCAACTCTTGAGAGTCCCTTGGACTGCAAGGAGATCCAACCAGTCCATCCTAAAGGAGATCAGTCCTGGGTGTTCATTGGAATGACTGATGTTGAAGCTGAAACTCTAATACTTTGGCCACCTGATGCGAAGAGCTGACTCATTTGAAAAGACCTGATGCTGGGAAAGATTGAGGGCCAGAGGAGAAGGGGATGACAGAGGATGAGATGGTTGGACGGCACCACCGACTCAATGGACATGGGTTTGGGTGGCCTCCGGGAGTTGGTGATGGACAGGGAGGCCTGGCGTGCTGCGCTTCATGGGGTCGCAAAGAGTCGGACACAACTGAGTGACTGAACTGAACTGAGTGAGGTAGATGAACCTAGAGCCTGTTTTACAGAGTGAACTCGGACACAACTGAGCGACTGAACTGAACTGAGTGAGGTAGATGAACCTAGAGCCTGTTTTACAGAGTGAACTAAGTCAAAAAGAGAAAGACAAATATCATATATTAACGCATATATATGGAATTGAGAAAAATGGTACTGATGTCTCTATTTGCAGGGTAGCAACACAGACACAGATATAGAGAACACACTTGTGTCCACAGCTGGGGAACAGAGGGTGGGACGAACTGAGCGCACTCCACTGGAACATGTGCACTGTGTGTGTGCTGTCACCTTTGACTTTTTGCAGCTCTACGGACCATAACCTGCCAGGTTCCTGTCCCTGGGATTTTCCAGGCAAGAATACTGGAGTGGGTTGCCATTTCTTACCCCAGGGGATCTTCCTAACCCAGGGACTGAACCCATACCTCTTGCCTCACCTCCACTGGAAGGCGGACTCTTTGCCATGCCAATGTAAAACAGCCAGCCAGCAGGATGTGCTGTAAGGAGCGCAGCCTGGTGCCCTGCGACACTTAGAGGGCTGGCAGGGAGGCTCGCGGGGAGTGGACGTGTGTGTACCTAGGCTAATCCATGCTGACGCATGGCAGAGACCAACACAACACTGTGAAGCAAATATCCTAATGACATTTTTTTTTTTAAAAAAGGGCAAGTCAAGAATATATACTTCCTCTGTATCAGCACAGAGAACCAGTCTAAGGAACATACCAGACAGAAACCAAGCCTCATATTTTAAAAACTGAAGAGAATAGATATCAATCTTTGCCTCTGAGTGAAATACCTACTGTGCGAAAATCTTCTTCAAACTTGTAAGCACCACCTCCTGTAGCACATAGCACCGTGTGTAATGTTGAGAAGTTTTTATCTCTTCCCATTTGTATAAAAGTAGGCAGGTCCTGGGTTGGAAATCTGATAAAGTGCAAGTTCCCTCTCCGGCCAAAAAGTGTTAAATCTTTCAGTTCAAGGTGTACATCCCGAATACCAGTGGATCCATATGCCACATTAGAAGTCAAATATTTCCGGATACTTTTTAAGCTCTCAACTTCTTCTTGTTCTTCCTCTGCTGTGATATCAATAGGTTCAAAATATGATAGCTTTACCAGAGTTCCACCGATGTCCATGCCAAACCATGGGAAAGCTGTGGAAAAAAAATAAAAATATATATCTTGATTTTGGAAATACAAATTAGGAACTAGTTAATTAGCCACAAACTTTATTTACTGTGAACCATGCACTCAGTCAACTTATGACTTCTATGTGCAACTCACCCTTTTCCCTTCAAAGTGTTACTCTGTGCATTTTCTAAAAACCCTGAAACCTAGGATTCCTGGATCCCAAGGATGTTTTAATTCTTGCTCTGTTAGGCATTTCTTTTCATTTATTATATATTTATCATGTGTTCCAGGAGATTAAAACAAAAAATAGGACCAATTTTGTCTTAATAGTAATGTCATCACCTTTTGAAAATGTTTCTAAAAAAAGAAAAAGAAAATGTTTCTAAAAAGATTTTAATGTAATAAAATTGGTTTAGAATCATGTTAAGTAACCCAAGAGAAAAGAACCTCCTGATAAGAATCTTTTTTCTTTGCCCATTAAACTTACTAGGCTTCTTTAAGAGCCTCTGGTTAATAAAAATTAGCTGTTGATAACGTTGAAGTTTTAACCTACCTGGAGACAGGCAAACTTGGGTAGGTAGAATCATCTGGATTTGGGACTTGGTACTCTTACTAACTGGGCTGTATGACACTGGAAAAACCATTAACCTGTCAAAACCTTTGTTTCCCTAAGGTCTGTTTCTCTTCTCTGGGATCTTGATCATCATGAAAGTGAATGAAAACTAATTTCATAGTTAAGATACATAGATTACAAAATGCCTAACAGCGGGTATTTTACAGTTCATCATGTATAAGTTGTCAAGGATAAGTAATTCCCTCTAAAATTCTACTTTGTTTCTTAAACATTCATATTTACTTGATATGAGTATACCATTAGAAACCAGGAACATCAATTCAATGAGAAAGGATTCTATACATTTCTCTATACAGGCACTATGCTTTTGTCACCTATAGATTTGTATAAACAACTAAGATGCTGAAGAAGCTAAATTTTCTCAGTTTTGTCAGGTGGCTAGCAATGGAGGCCATCTTAAATAAGTAAAACATTAGTGTCAGCTCTTAAAGTAGGGGTAACTGGAGATGCTATATTGCAGATCATGACGTTTTAGTAACCATAACATACAAACTAGAACATAATAGCTCACTTCTTTCCTGCACTGGGATCCTTTCAGTTCAGCAGAGTTCTAGAATTTATTTCCTTATGCCAGAGAAGCAATCACCATTCAAAAAGTATGGAGGAGACAATCAGAACACAGAAAATATATATTCTTAATTATGATCCACTCCTTTCATTAGTAAGTGATCTAACTGCCATTTCGATTAAAGCAAATATTCAAACTGGTTACTTTATCACTAACCAAAGTGAGGGAGAATGACCACAAAATTAAACTTTATTTATCTGCAATAAAACTACAAAGTTAAGTACAACCACAGGCCTACTGATAGTTTCAAGAGGTAAGAAAAATATCACTTTCTAAAGAAATACGGCAAATCTCTCTATCAATAGCTTTGTTGCTTCTAGCCTAGGGACAGGTTAAAAGTAGGTTACAGTGCAAAAGCATTCTACTTCCTACATATAGCCTAAGCATTTCTCATTCTTTTGGGAATAAAACTCTCCACTGTCAAGATGGGGGAAAAAAAAGAACCAAAATACACATCTAATGAACAAAATACCAATCTATAAATATAAATAACTCCTCTGATAATGGCAAATAAACATTACCTTCTCGTCTTTGAGCATTTCCTAGATCTCTCAAGATCTGTTTATGTGACCCTCCAAACCAGGAGCTTCTACTCTACTTCTGACCTAAGCCCACGAGAACTGCTGTATTAGTCCCCCATAAGTAACAAAAGTACCCAGAACCACCTTAAGCAGAGTGCTACCTACCAAGCAGATTATGTATGAAAAGAAGAAAACTGAATGTCTTTTTATATAATTAAACAGAAGATATTCTAGACACAAGGGCAGGTTGTTCATTTCCAACAAACTGTGCAGGAGTTTCCTCGTGGCCTACTGGTTAGGATTCCCAGCTTTCACTGCCATGGTCAGGGTTCAATTCCTGGTTGGGGAACCGAGCAAAGCAAAAAGCTGCTTGGTGTGGCCAAAACTAACTAAATAAAAGTTTGGTCTTTCATTAAGTGTTGCTAAGGGTAGGGGAGAAGCATTAAAGAGCTATTTAATTGCGACTGGCCCCATGCAGATTTTAGCCCAAAGGGATACTATGCCAAACTAGATTTAATTGTTCTTTAGCAGAAAGAGAAGACAAAAGCTGAAAATGTTCAAAACATTAGTGGATTATTTTAAGGAACAAAATTCTAAACTGGACACGTGCACTAGTAAATTCCAGATATGGCTCAACTTCTTGAATAAACGGCATTTCAATCTTCTCAAGAATCATCCCAAATAAAAGTGCTGTTTTAAAACAGACTAAGAAAATAAACCATTTTCACACCTTCAGTATTATAATTCCTCAGACAAGCTTCAGAAGATTTCCCCCGTTTTGATAAATTAGTTACATCTCAGGGGATATTAGAAACTATCACTTTCAACTGCACCTTACCATCTGTTTGAAGTGATCCTTCCTAAGTAGTGATTCAGTTTACAAACAGGCCAAATTACACAGAAGCAAACAGCACACATATGCTACATACTTCTCTCTGGTCTTGACAGAACCTTCAGGTATCTGACTGCCTGGATCAGCAAAGCAGGCATACAAACCTATACTGCACCAAATTATAATATATATGTAAATGGGGGGAAGATATACTGTACTGGCTCTTCACTGCGGTGTGTGGGCTTAGTTGTCCTGCAGCAGGTGGGCTCTTAAGTTCCCCAACCATGGACAGAACCTGGGCCCAAAGCAGTGAAAGTCCAGAATCTTTAACCACTGGACAGCCAAGGAATTCCTTTATATATAAAACTTTTATTATCACCTTGTTAATCATGTTGCATCCCATACAGGTAACCAAAACAAACGCTTACCCCTAACTTAAAAAGATATGCGAGCTGAGATACAGAGAAGGACCACTGTTGAGATTTTTATTATCTATCATTTAAGTAGAGTGAAGAGCACAAGTAAAGGTAAAGCAAATATTGCCATCATTTTGGTTTTAGCAAAAAATTTTCGTTAATGTTTCACTTCATTCTTCCCCTGGAGTTAAATTAATACACAATTTCAAATGCTCATCTTTTACTTATACAATCTAGAGGATGAATTCCTTTTCTTCTTTTCTGGTTAAATACATGCATGTGGTTTACAAGCTGGTGTATTATTAGTGATGAATCAAAAAAAGCAATGTTTTCTAACACTTATGTAACTATTAAGAAAGTGTGCTACATCAAAGTCACTTGTTTAACTAGTATGAGATACACACTATGAGTTATTAGTATGAGTTATGAGTGCTCCTCTGAGGAGTAAACGATCCAGGGCATGTACACAGTGCCTTACATACAAAGTGCTCACTAAATTTATAATTAAAAAAAGAAACCCTATACAAGAACTCAAAAACAAAACAAAATATTTCTTTAGCTAACCTGAGTGGTTTGAAACCTCACAAATACTGTCCAAGGATTTCCCTGGAAGTCCAGTGCTTAAGACTCGGAGCTCCCAATGCAGGGGGCAAGGGTTCCATCCCTGGTCTGGGAACTAAGATCCCACATGTCACGCAGCTTGGGCCAAAAAAAGAAAAAACACTTTCCAGATACACACACACACACATATATACACACACGTATGCATTTATCCACAACAGTTCATAGTTGAAATACTTTCTTTACCACCGCACAGAAACAAGATGTTCTTTTTTACTGTAAAGAACTGAGCAGACAGTAAAGTCATCTTCTGCATATTAGAAACTGGAAATGTTATTTCAGGCTTCTAAATCATATTAACTGACTTTTTCAGCATAATTAATGGTCTCACAATGTACCACAATGTAGTAATAAGTAAATTACTTCTAAAAAACTAGGTGATCTTATGGTTGCCAGGGAAGGGGGAGAGGGATTCCTAGGGAGTTTGGGATGAACACATACACACTGCTATATTTAAAATGGATAACCACTGCGATGTTGTGAAATGGTTAGCCTCCAACTAGTAGAGATAAATGAAAAAAAAAGAAAAAAAGAAAAAGAAAATGGATAACCAACAAGGATCTACTGTATAGGGCACGGAATTCTGCTCAATGTTATGCGGCAGCCTAGATGGGAGGCAGGTGTGGGGGAGAATGGATACATGTATACCTATGGCCGAGCTGCCCTGCTGCGCACCAGAAACTACCACAACTTTGTCAATGGGTTATACCCCACTACAAAAAGTGAAAAGAAAAAATAAAAAAATAAACACATAAAAATAGGTATTAGTCCTCAACCTGTTTATTTTATAAACTCTTAATTATCATCTTTGCTAAATATGAAACACCTTTGACAGAGATGGTAGCCACACCTGAATACAAGTTTGCCCAATCTAAGTAATCAAACTGTTGTCGTCGCAAAAATAAAATCCTACAGGGTCAGAATATAAGCTTGTCATGGTTAAACTCACTTTCCTAAATGGAAATTCTAAAACAAGCTGAGAAAACGTATGTTTTGAAGGAAGATGTCCAACTGTTCTACTTTACACCATCTGTTTAAGATTCATTTAATTTAGCAAATGTTAAAGTAAATTAGAAGTGTTTCTATATTACTGTCATTAAAGCCTTCACCACTATTTTATACACTGATGAAGGAGAACTCTTTATCTACCATTCTTTTAAAAAAATAATTGTTTAAAAAATGTTTTAGGGGACTTCCCTGGTGGCTCAGTGGCTAAGACTCTGCACTCCCAATGCAGCAGGCCAGAGTTCAACTCCTGGTTGGGAAACTTGAGACCCAGCTGCAATTAAAGACCCAGCGCGGCCAAATAATCATTTTTTTAAAAAGTGTTTTAGTTGACAGATAAAACTGCCAGATCAGAAAGGTTTGTGCTTCCCTAAGTATTCAGACTATGCCCTACAGGTGCAAAAAAAAAAAGGACGCAGCACTATGGGTCAGGAGCCCGACTACTCATTTAGCAAAGAGTAGGGTGGTGCAGCCTCGGAAAAGTTACTCTGGTGCCCAGTAAGTTCAATTTCCTCAGCATTAAATTAAAACTAAATTATCTCATATTTAAATGACAATTAGCAGATTTCAGAGTGCTTTGGTATGTTGACTCTCCACGGAGGTTTTCAAAAAACCGGAGGGTCGGTAAAAGGCAAGATCTTGCTCCGTTTTTACAGCAAGAGATTTCCTAGAACTGCTGGGAGAATCACACGACACTGCAAAATGGCAAAATACCAATACAATTCTAAGACAGACGCATGCATCCCGTATTCCTAGTGGCCCTGAAGAATGGATTTCAAGTACGACAATGGCTGACAATGGCTGAGTGATTAAATAAGCCACTTATAGGAATAAAAGTTTTAAATAGTCTAAAAATAAAAGGAAGCAAATAAAAGCGACCTATACTCTCTTCAAATATGGGGGGGAAAAAAGTACATGCTCTATAGTCTTAAAAAATCTCTATAAGAGTAGTCACCAAAACATCCTTAGAGGTCTGCTCTGAGTGGCGGGAATACCAATAGTTTTGCTCTTTTAACAACCATGAACTATTTGTCATTCTAAATAAAAGCAAACCATGGTAATCGCCGACCGGTAGGTTACACGCACGTGTGTTTAAAAGCTCTAATTTAACAACAGTGACAACTACCGGGAACCGTGGATTTCAAGGACACAAGCAAAAAGCTCAGAGATTTAAAAAAAAAAAAAGTTATCAATGTCCCCGCGCAATTTGACAGCCGTGACCACCAGCTTGCAGCTTTACTTCAGAGGAAGCTGGGAGCGCCGACTGGTAGCTCTAATCTTGCCTGCCAAACCCCGAAACAAAAATTCCCGCTTGCACCTCCCAGACCTCAGGAGGAAGTGCGAGAAATGGCCAGGGGGGCGGCAAACGCTCGCCAGCAGAGCTTAGGGGGATGGGAGGAAAGCCTGGAACCGGGTGCTGAAAACGTCCCTCCGCCCCCATCCCGCGCGCGATGCCGGCGGGAGCAACCCATTTCGAAGCAGGCCGCCCACCAAGGGCTTTCCAGACGCGGCCTGACGTGCTCTCCCAACCCGACGTACCCAAACCCCCATCTTACAGGGTTTCTTGGCATCCTTGATCTTCATGGCGTCTGCCTGAGGGGCGAGGGGTAGCCTCTGGTCCGGCGCGCGGAGGGCTGTAGCTGCGACTCCAGAGGAGGCTCTGGGGCAAGCGGGGAGGCCGGGCCGGTTCCTCCCCTCGGGCCGGGCTGGGCGGGCTAAGGGCGGGGCGGCGGCGCCTAAGGCTAGGCCCGGCCCAGGGGGCGGCCCCCTACCCCTGCGAGGGGCGGCAGGGACCGAGCAAGCAGGGGCAGGCCGCCGGCCTCGCCGCTCCGGGGCCCCCGCCGCCGCTCCAAACAAAAGGCCCCGGTGCCCTGAGCCGCCGCCGCCGCCGCACAGAGAACCAGCCCGCCCGCCCAGTCCAGCTCCCACGTGATGCGAGCCCCCTTCCCCCCCGCCCCTCTCTCCGCCGGGCTGCTGGGGATTGTAGTTTCCCGAGTGGCGAGGACCCACTCTCAGGCTACAGTCTTGCAGATGTACTACAAAATCCAGGATGCATCGCGGGACCTGCTCCGAGGCCCCTGCGCTTCCGGAGGTGGCCTCAGAGTGGTCCCAGAGAGATGGGGGCGGGGCTTTAATCACGCCAGCGACGAGGCGACCAATGAACACTGACGTGGGCGGGCTTCGGAAGTCCAACTCTAGCCTCGCCGGGCAGTGGAGAGAAGAAGGGGAAGGAAGTCTTTGCTGGTCCTGTCATGGCTGTCCTGCAAGTTGCAGACTTCCCCTGGAGGGAGAAAATGTGGTCAGTGTGGCAGAGAAAGCGCTATAAGTACAGGGCTCTAGGGTCGCTCTTTAAAAATGCCAGTGAATACATTTGTAAATTAAAGTCATTCACGAAGAAATCCGCCAGCTTAATAGACACTTCGAATGCTGGAGTTGGGATGATGATGATAGTCATAGTAATGGCAATTAACAATAATAGGTACCATTTACTAAATGGTTACCGTTCAGTAACCATTCTACCAACAGTCATGCGCACTCTGCTAGGCACTTTTGGGGAATTGTTTAATTCAGTATCTTTGTGAAGTGTGTGCAGTTACTTATCACTCATTTTGAAGAAGAGACAGGATCTGAGAAGTTGTCACTTGCACAGAGCGCCCTTTGCTGTGGTTCCATGTCCCCTCAGCTCCCTTCTTCCAAAGGGAAACTAACCCCCAGAGGAAAAAGTGCCCTTGTTTGCACTCCTTCCCCTGCGCCTCCTAGGTTCTGAGTCCTCTAGCTGGAATGGGAAGGGACAGCTTTGGGGGGAGGGTCTTCTCCTGGCCTCCCCTCCCCCAATTAGCTGATCAGGAATTTAATGACTGTGGCAGTAAACGGTTTGAGAGTTGACAGTGGAGGATTGAGCCTTACTGCACCTTCTCTGTGGAGATTATGACAATGATTGTGAATAAAAACTGGAAGGGACACAAACCATCGAAGAGTTAGCTCTTTACAAGTTGCTTTTCTTACTTAAATTTTAACTTAAATTTAATCCTCACAATCACCCTTTGAAATATAATGATTACATGTAAATCCATGGCTAACTCATTTCAATGTATGACAAAAACCACTGCAATGATGTAAAGTAATTAGCCTCCAACTAATAAAAATAAATGGAAAAAAAAAAAGAAATGATTGAAAACTCAAACTTGTTCACTTCTTCGTTCTACAAATTGATTATATATTTGGGCAAATTACTTCATCTCTTTGATTCTCCTTGGGAATAATGATGCGTACAAAATAGGATAGGGGTGAGGACTGCGATGGAAGAAAGCATGTAAAATGCTTACTTCATTATCTGTCCAATAGGAAGTGATCAGCAAAGGATGACTGTGTTTTTATTGCCATCATTATGCTTATTGTAAAGATAAGGGAGAAAGGTTAAATATCTAGACTCTTTGTCCAAGGTAATTACTTGGAATTGGATTCCAGGTCTGATTGGTGCTTTGCAGTTCCTTATCTTTTGTTATTTTGATCCCCGTTTCCACGTTTATTATTTATAAATCAAATTATTTTTATGTGTATTTTTAGTAGATACATTTTTCTGAGCTCCCAGATAACTGGTAACTTAGAACCTTGAGTAGTAGACTTAACCTCCCCCACCCCCCAGCACACACACACACCCCTGAGGTTACCCCATTCTATAGAGAATTCTCCTATGCTTGAATGGTCCTGTTTTCCCACTTTTTTTTTTTTTTTAGTGAGAGCTGTGACTTCTGGTTTGACATGGTTCCAAGGAGTGTTTAGTATCTAACAATTCACTCTCTGCTTAAGTCTGGTGTGCATACTCTGTTATCTACCAACAGATATCTTCCCTTGGTTCGTGCCTTATTTGGTGGCATCAACTTGGAAGTCAAAGGGGAAGTGTTACCTTTGCCTTGTGATAGGCTGCCCATGGACCAAATGGAAAGTGAGCTGGAAATGAGTCATAGGAATTTGGATACAGGCTTTTGCTAGTTTCTGTGGCCATACAAGGATGGCTTAGTTTAATTTAGCTTTAACGTTAGGCTTACATTTGTGATGTCACATGTGAGAAAAACACTAGTTTTTTTCTCACTAGTAGTGAGAATTCTAGTCTTAGATCAGCCTTGCAATTTCTGTATGACCCTGGAAAAGTCTTTTCTCCTCTCTGGGTTCAAGTTACTCATCTGTAAAATAAAACAATTGTTTGAGATTTCTTCCATCTCTGAAATAAAGTTCATTAACAAATGTCCCTTCTTTAGGTGTAATAGGAGATGAGTTCCACTATGTTTTTCTTTTAAGTTTTCTCCAATGTTACTGAAACTGACAGGTCATGTTACTTCAGTTTCTGGCCAGAATCTTTTGCAGCCCCTTCGGCCGTCAGCCCCAATCCCTCCCTCCAGCTGTCGGGTTCACTGCATTCTCTCTTTTCCCTAGCATGTCCTCAGAACCCATCCTGGCAGAGTAAGTGCAGGAGCTGTGAGGAAAATCTAAAGGGTCTGAGAGAAGTTCTTTTTTTTTTTTAATATTTGTTCATTTAATTTGGCTGTGCTGGGTCTTTATTGCTGTGCACAGTCTTTCTGTAGCTGTGGCGAGCCGGGGCTCCTCTCTACTTATGTTGCACAGGCTTCTCATTGTGGTGGCTTCTCTTGTTGCAGAGCACAGTCTGTAGCTCTCATGGGTTTCAGTAGTTGTGGCCCCAGGGCTCCAGAGCCTGAGCTCAGTAGTTGTGGGACAAGGGCTCAGTTGCCCTGCAGCATGTGGGATATTCCCAGACCAGGGATTGAACTGGTGTCTGCTACATTACAAGGTAGATTCTTAACCACTGGACCACCGGGGAAGCCCCCAAGAGAAGTTCTTGACCTGAGCACTTCCTGTCTCAATATGTGTTGTCTCCCGAAAACAATCCACCCCATCATTCAGCATGATAGAGGAGACCTGACACTCCCTCATCCTGTTTTAATGAGTGTCGCCATGGAGACAGGTGGTAGATGGTACCTAGTGATGATTATGGAGTCTTCTGGTATGAAGAAAGCACACACACACACACACACACACACACACACACACACAAATACACACACATTCTAGCTTCAAAGCCCAGACCAAGCTTGTAACAGTGGATTCTGTCTCTAATTAGATGGTTAAGAACAAGCTTCAGTCAGTCCTTGAATCTACGAAATCAGACCAGCGTCTCACCGTGTGGAGCATCATTTGTATGAGCGTCATCGGCATCACCATAATCACCATCATGATAGTGGAAGCACAATTCTGTCCAACAAATCTTAATTGAGTTTTGACTATGTTCTGAATACTGCAGTACATGCTGGCTGAGGGGGAGGTAAGAAAGAAAGAAACAATAAGTTAAATCAGTAAACAGGAATATGCTGTGATAAGTGATGTGAAGGAAATAACCAGGATGATGTGCTGGAAAGTACCTGGGGTTGCAGGAGAAGAAGACGGCTGCATTTTAGTTTGGATGGTCAGAGAAGGCTTCTCTGAGGAGACGGCATATGAGCTGAGGTTCCTGTAAATTGCTCAGGAGGACAGAGTTGTGGATGCTGCTGAGGATAGTTTTGGTTGTAGAGACAGAAGCAGAATGTGGCGAGTAGAGAGCAAGAAGGGAAGTGATCAGAAGTGGAGTTGGAAACGTGGGCCTGCTGGGCCTTGAGGACTTTAAGCAGGGGAGTGACATGACCTGTAATTCTAGAAGGCTACTCTGGCTGCTTTGTGAAAAATGGGTGGATTGGAGACATGCCATGACTTGTAAAGACTGGTCACCTCAAGCTTCTCCACTGCATCCCCCTGGCCCTATGTGGAATCAGTTACCAAGTCTGTAGTGGAGTGGGGAGCTCCCAGAGCACTCTGGGAGCTGTGGGGGAGGATGAGCTTGAATCAGTGTGGTGGCAGCAAAGAGGGAGGGAAGTGCTCCAATCAAGAACTTCATTTAACCAATGCTTATGGAGATCCTACAGTGTGCCAGGCACAGTTCTGGGGTGAGGGATTCAGTGAAGATCAGGGCAAAGCCCCCACTGTCCTGGAGCTTATATTCTACTGGGGGACATAAACAGTAAACAAGGAGACTGCTATATAGTGTTACGTTCGAGAATATAACTTTGAAAGTATATTTAAATAGTATGGATCTTCCCTGATAATTCAGCTTGTAAAGAATCCACTTGCAAAGCAGGAGACTCTGGTTCAATCCCTGGGTCAGGAAAATCTGCTGAAGAAGGGATAGGTCAACCCATTCCAGTGCTCTTGGGCTTTTCTGGTGGCTGAGACGGTAAAGAATCCACCTGGAATACGGGAGACCTGGATTCGACCCCTGGGTTGGGAAGATACCTTGGAGAAGGAAATGGCTACCCACTCCAGTATTCTGGCCTGGAGAAATCCATGGACTGTGTAGAGTTGGACATGACCGAGTGACTTTCACTTTAGATAGTATAAATGCTACGAAGATACTAACGCAGTATGAGGGAATGAGAATGATGGGCTGTTTGAGACAGAGTGGTAGTTGAGGATAAATTAGATGAAGTGGATGCGGGAAAGGAAAAGGGAGGCTTGAAAGGTAAGTTTTAGGGTTTGGG